ACGTCATGACTCAAGTGGAGGTCAGAGGAAAACTTGGGGCGTTGGCCCTCACCTTCCACTTTGAGGGACCCTCTGTTCTCTGCCTCTGTCTATGCCATTCTAGCTGGCCTATGAACTTCTTGGGGATTCTCTTGTCTGTCTCTTCTTCCCATTTTGCCTTGAAAGCACTGGGATTACAGATGTGTGATAACATATTCAGATTTAAGTTGGTTCTGGGGATTTGAACTCAGGTCTTCAAGCTTGTGTGGAAAGTGCTTTTCTTACCCACCAAGCCATCTCCCCAGCCCTAGAAGAGCTATATTTTGTCTGATGCTTCCCAAGTTTATTTTGTCTGCTCACGGGAGATTTTATTTTCTGTGCAGGCTTGTGGCTGGCATCCAGGAAGGCCACAGGAAGGTACTAGTTTCCCAAAAAGCAGTGTCTTTTGTTACAAATGCCAACATGCAACAAAGGCTGCTCTGAATTTAACTTCCCTCCGGCTTTCCAACAATCCCTCCTCCACCTTCTTTCTCTCCTTTGTTTGCAAAAGGGCAAAGATATGCTGAAAACAGAACTTTTTCCCTGGGCCTACTCCCTCACTGTGGCTGTCCCTCTATTTCCTGCCTTCCTCTCGTGGCCAAAGCTCCTGGATGGTAGTCTATAAACCCATGCATGGCTTTAGCTTTTAAAACTTGGCATCTCTCCTAATCATCCTACTGAGGACTGTTCTCTGTAAGGTCAGGGAAGCTGTTTGTCAAATACACTGACCTTTTTATCGGTCTAATTTTCAAAATCTGCATACTCAGTACTATTCTGGGAACCATGTACTTGATGCTCACCACACCTGCAGCTTCTGTAATGTCCACCTTTTTGAATATTCATTCTTTTTTTCTCTGTTGGGAGTTTTCCCACTTCTTAGACTTCCACAGTGACTGCTCTGTAGCCAACTCTGATGTTTGTGTCCAGGATCAGCCTAGCATATTTCCTAGTTCTAACAATCCTTCGCTGCACTCTTGTGAGTGCTGGATCTGTAGACAGCTGATCTGAGGAGGGCATCTCACTGCACCTAGTTCTTCCTGTGAATCCTGACATTGTTCATATCATAGTCACGCAGTTCTCTGACTTCTGATTCTTCCTGCTGCCCCAGTTTCAGGTACTGGCAAACCATAAATAGAAAGGTTCTTAAAACCTTTTCCTAGTGAGCCTCATCACTCACTGCACTCTACCTCTGTCCCTCCTTCCCACTCCCAAGGCTACTCAGGTTTTAGCTCCTTGTCTTTCCATTGCTTTTGCTGCCCCTATTTCTATAGTTTTCTTCTCGTTTGTATCACAGACATTCCAGGAAGGTAGTTCTCATAAGGCACCTTATCATGCAAGACTCTTCTGGTGGCTATTAAAAAAAAAATATTTTAAGCTGGGCATGGTGGTGCATGCCTTTAATCCTAGCACTTGGGAGGCAGAGGCAGGCTCCTGTGAGTTAAAAGGCCAGCCTGGCTTAAATTGGAAATTCTAGTTCAGTCAGGGCTATATAGTGAGACCCCGTCTCAAAACAAAAAAATATTTTATTTCTAATTATGTGTGTGGGTATGTGCACATGAGTGCAGGTGCTCCTGGAGTCCAGAAGGCATAGGATCCTCTAGGGCTGGAGTTACAGGTGGTTGTGAGCTGCCCACCATGTTTGCTGGGAACTGGACTCCAGTCCTCTTAACTTTGGAGCCACCTCTCCAGTCCAGGCTTTCTACTATTCATAGAACTAGGCAGAAATCCTCAAATGGAAAACAAGAGAAACATGATGGAATGTATTTTCTACAGGTAGCTCAGGAAACACCTAACAGAAAAGGCATAGCAAACAATATTGACCCTATTTGTTACTATGGTGGTTCCAAGAAATATATTACTTCATTCTTTAAATGAATTGTTTCTCAAACCACAAATATACCTAAGAAAATAGTATTTGATCTTTGCCAAATAGCACAAACCAGTCTTTTTCAATTTTTAAATTACATGTATGTGTGGACAAATGCCTCTCTTGGCACACGTGTGGTACAGGACAACCCATGGGAATTAGTTCTCTTCTTCCACTGTGTGAGTTCCAGGGACCAAACTCAGGTCATCAGACTTATGGCATGTTTACCACAAGAGTCAACTCATAGGCCTCCAAGTTGGTTTCTTTTTCTTTTTCTTTTTTTCCCCCCCTTTTCCTTTTTGGTTTTCTAAGACAGGGTTTCTCTGTGTAACAGCCCTGGTTGTCCTGGAACTCTTTGTAGACCAGCTTGGCCTCGAATTCACAGAGATCCACTTGCCTCTGTCTCCCAAGTGCTGGGATTAAAGGCATGTGCCACCAACACCCAGCCCAAATTGTTTTTTTATCTATGACCAAGTCATTTATTCTGTTTATTGGCATGTTAAATCACTTAGTATCTATAGATATGGTGCCTCATGTGCAGAATTTGGGGGTAGGACTTCAACAGTAGTTTTCAAACCTGGATACACATTAGAGTAGCTGAAGGATGTTTAAGACCTGTTGATGCCCAGAAACTCCTTCTAGGGACCATCTCAAAAGATCTCAACAGGTGGAGCCTAACATCTATGTTTAAAAAGCTGCACCATCGATTCTAATGTGTTGCCAGGGTTGAAAACTAATACATTCCCTTTTGTGTATGTTCTTGTGGGTGTGTGCAGGCCTGGGGGCAAAGGTCAATCTTCGATGTCATTCTTCAGGAACATCCACCTTTTGTGTTCTTTTTTTTTTTTTTGGTTTTTCGAGACAGGGTTTCTCTGTGTAGCTTTGCGCCTTTTCCTGGAACTCGCTTTGGAGACCAGGCTGGCCTCGAACTCACAGAGATCCGCCTGGCTCTGCCTCCCGAGTGCTGGGATTAAAGGCGTGCACCACCACCGCCCGGCCCACCTTTTGTGTTTTGAGGCAGGGTTTCTCACTGGCCTAGAACTAGTTGTGATCTGCTGGCCATGGGAGCCCAGGATCCTCGTCTCCTTTCTGGCAGTGAGATTACAAGCATGCTCTACTACACTTGACTTTCTTATGTGGATTTAGGGGCTGGAACTCTAAGCTCTTTACGTACTGATTCATCTCCTCAGTTCTGAGAACTACTAGATTCCTATCAAGTGTCTTTTTGTCTTTAAAGTGGTTTTCTGACTTTGTTCTTCCTTTCAATGAGAAGTTACCTTTCACTTTAGTTTACTTAGCAATCACATTTGGTGATTGTGGTTATTTTTGACTTAGCCTCTTTCTGTGCCATCGTTCTTGCCACTAGGATGAGCCTTCCTTACCTTGTGTGCTTATTCCTTGGTACGCAGATTTTTACAAGACTAAACTGAATTAAAAAGCTTCCTCTTGGGGCTGGAGAGATGGCTCAGCAGTTAAGAGCACTGACTGCTCCTCCAGAGGACCCGGGTTCAATTCCCAGCACTCACATGGCAGCTAACAACTGTCTGTGATTCCAAGCTCTGACACCCTCACACAGAAATACATGCAGGCAAAACACCAATGCACACAAAATAAAGATAAATAATTTAAAAAAAAGCTTCGTCTAAATCATATTGTTTTTTCTTCCTAAAATAACATACAACTTGGACACCTCATCATGTGATTGATGCTTATTTGTAGGTAAAATGCTGTGAAGCTTTGATTCAGGAAGGGGAAGCTGGAAGTATTCAGAAGTGCTTAAAGGAAATATTTCCAAAGTGTTAGTTGAACTATTGTTCTTACATAATAACACGGTGTGTGATTCTATCTATATATGAGTTAATTATATGTTCAAGAATGTTGTTTTATAGGCAAAAGGCTATTTCTGTTTAAACTGAATTCATGGATAAGCTCTTGAGCAGGATGGGGGTGTTGAAGGCCTCTACTTCATAGCAATGACTACGGAAAAAGAAGCACCCCAAGGGTTATGGAAGACATTGGTGAAGGGAAGCTATAAAAGACATTATTCTTTGCTGGCCATGGCGCAGCTGTACATATATCTTATATCAATTAATGCAAAGAATTTAGAATACCATAGACAGCTTTACAAAGTGAGTTCCCACCCAAGTTTGGAAACATCAAACTTCAAGTAATATGGTCATCCTCTTGTACCTGATAGATCCAACACAACCACTAAATGCCCTCCCAGAGTGCTGTAATTTTCTGGCAACATACTATTTAAACGTTTTCATTTTTATGTGTGTGTTTGTGCAAGTGAGTGTGGGTGCTAATAGCAGCACAAGAGGGCATGGAACCCTCTGGAGCTGGAGTTACAGGAGACTGGAGCCCACTGAAGTGGCTGCTGGGAAGTTAACTCTGGTTCTTTGAAAGAGCAGAAAGTGCTCTTAAATGCCGGCCATTTCTCCAGCCCCCACATTATTATTATTATTTTTTTAAAAAATCACATTTACTTATCGCGTGTGTCGATCAGAGAACTTGTGGAAGTTCTCTTGTTCCACTACGTGGGTAGTGAGAACGGAACTCAGGTCGTCAAGCTTGGCACCTTTACCCACTTCGGTCCTCAACACATTACTTCTAAAGCAATTTACACTTTGAAAAAGTTTGAGTATAAAAAAATTTTAGGTGAAGCCGAGCATGGTGGTGGCACACCTATAAGTACAGCACTCGGGAGGCTGAGGCAGGAGGTTCAGGAGTTCAGGGCCAGTCTCGGCTATTTAGTGGGGTTAGAAGCAGACTGGGCTACAAGAGACCCCTTAATCAATCAATCAATCAATCAATCAATCAATCAATCAATCTCAATCAATAAAATGCAAACTAAGCAGAGCTTGTAATCCCAGCACTCTTAGGGAGGCTGAGGCAGGAAGACTATTAAGAGTTCTAGGCCAGCCTGAGCTACAGAATGAGAGTCTGTCTCAAAATACTGAAATTAAAAAAAAAAAAAGTTTTAAGTTGCATAAGGAACAGCGAAGCAGCCTCCCAGTTAGCAAGCAGCTCACTTCTGAGATGCAAGACTCGCGCTTGAGTCAAAGCTCTGGCGACTCTGCTGCAGAGAAGAGCCCACGGCGGCCCCGCGTACCTGCCTCCTGCCTTCCACATGCATCCCGTACCAGCACTTCGGGACACTTGCCAACGCCGAGGACGCGTCGCGGGACCGCGCGCGCCGCGGCCTCACAATCAGGACGCACGCTGCTGACGTCAGCGGCCGCGGCCCGCCTCCGGCGCCTGGAAAGAGCCGGCTGTCTATTGGCTGGACTTCCGGCGGCCTCGGAACCAATCACAGGACGGCGAGCAGCAAGGTCCAGTCCCTGACGTTGTGCGGTCGCCGCGGGGTTTATTTAGCTCTAGGGTCCTGACCGCCGCCATTCGGAGTCCTCAGCGCCCGAGGCAGTCCCTCGTCCGCTCCGCCCCTGCCCCCGAGCCGCGGCCCCCGCCTCCGCGCCGCCTCTCCGCCCCTCCGGCCGCTGGGAGCCGCGCGCGGGCCCGCGGAGACCATGTCCTGACTGAGGCGGGAGGGCGGAGGCGGCAGCAGCGGGGTGGGCGGCGGCGCCGAGGGAGGCGGAGAGGGGCCGGGCTCGGCTCGTCGCCGCGGGCCGTGCGGGAGTCGCCGCCGCCGCCGCTGCCGCGGCCGCCGGGCGCCGCGCGTCAGACGGGGAGGAGGAGCCGCGGCCGCCAGGTAACCGGGCCAGGGCTGGGGGCGCCGCGGCACAGGCCCCTCGCGGGTCGGCCGCGGCCTGACGGGGCCTCGCGGGGCCCAGGCTGCTAAGCCTCCGGGCGGCAGCGTTGCGGGGAAAGCTCATCGCAGGCCCGGGACTGCCGGCAGCCGCGCGTCCATCTTGGGCTTCCCGGTGCGGGGAGAGCCCAGAGGCTGAGGGAGAGTGGCCCGCTCGGCTTGTTTACCGACCTGAGTTGGCCACTGTCGGCTGCCTGCCTGGCGCTGCCCTTCTGCCCGCCGCATTCCGGCAACTGGGATTCCTCCCGAGTCCGAGTGTGTGGGTCTTGTTCCCATTCCTCAAGTAGGCCGTAAACACCCGGATTTGTCGCTATAAGTTGGTGCTGGTCTCCAAACTTGTATTTTGGTCCCTTGTCCGCTTTCTCTCCGGCTGGTACAGTGGCTTGCCGCTGTTGCCATTTTAAAGCAAATCAGGGCGAGAGTTGAGGCTTCGGGTGGCGATGAGCACCTGGAACTCTGCTCCTAGTAACGATCGCTTAGTGCAGCTACCTTGTACTTTGTTGTTGTTGTTTTTCTGCTCAGATTTGGCCGGTCATTGCACAGACAAAAATGTAATACTTGCTTTAAGCGCCGGGGACAGGCAGTTTAGGTTAAGCAGGAAGTTTGAACCCGCCCATTATCTTGGAGAGACACTGGTGTTTTGAAACCACCTTGCTTAGAATTTTGTATCTCAGCCCTCGATTTCCCCTTTCGGTTACCATACCCTGACTCACTGTTATCCTCTACTGCTGCCAATGTTTGGGCTCATCGTACGTTTGATCTGTGATGATGATAATAAACGTGATGTACAAATACTTGGAAGTGTTATATAATGAATGGCTCCTGTACCCTGTGGTCTCTCATTTAGTTGACTTTCTGTCAACTTTTGCAGCATCCATGGTACCTTTGTTGATCAAAAATGGGTGACTTGGTATACGTAGAGAAGCCAGGGGAGATCTTGGTTTGACAGGGGCCATTAGAAAATGGCTATACTTGGGAAAGGTAAAGCTGGATCCTGTTAATTTAATTAAATGAAGTAATTGTAAATATATTTAGAAGCCTGCTCTTTTTTGATTTGGGGGCTCGTAAAATAGTCTCATTAAACTTTTGTAACTTTTTTTAAATTGAGGGTAATGAGACATTTTTACATTTTTCTGGAGAGGATGTTATTTGAATGCTTCGAGAGATTTTTACTTGTTGCAATTTTAACACCTTTATTAGTGCTGTTGAGTGTTGGGACACCCATTTATTTACTCTTGAAATGTGTTTGGGATAGGATGATGAACTCATTCACGGTAGTGTATTTTAAGCTAATGGCCTTGATCCAGCTCAGTGTACTCATAGAGGTTATGACATATCACTTTTAAAGTCTGAGGATTAAGCCGAGAATGGTGGCACACGCCTTTAGTCTCAGCACTCAGGAGGCAGAGGAAGGTGAATCTCTGAGTTCTGGGCCAGCCTGGTCAATAGATGGAGTTCCAAGATAGACTATATAGAGAAAAACCTTCCTCCTCCCATCAAAAATAAATAAATAAATAAATAAATAAATAAATAAAGTCTGAGGATTAACAGAATTCAGTTGTACAACATTTGAGGTAAATTGATTCATGTGTAATTGATACAGTGAGAGTCATTTCATGTATTTTATATTTATATTGCTTTTATAAATTTTAAACTTTAAATGTAGTTGCAGAAGTAGGATGCTAACTTTTTATGTAACTTGATTCGGTTTTATATGAGCTTTGCTATGGCCTTCCCCTCTTCCCTAGAAATACCCTCTTGTTTGAACACTTTTCTTTGTTTGTGGTGGCTTATTTGGAATATGACAATTCCCACTTATGCCTTGGGTACATTATAATTTGTGTATTTAAACACACCTCTTGCCACAATATATAAACCTACAGAAATGAATGAAAAAAATTCAAACTCCTTATGGTGTTCAAATTTCTCAGTAGTCTGGTGTTGATGTATCCTTTAGTATTAATTTTGTCTTCTTCCCTATGTGAAGCTCAGTCTAGCCAAACTTAAATTGTTTGTTCCTGTGAAGTCTCCTCTTGGTCTTTATTTAATCCACCCTTTCTGTATTCATGGGTCTTAAGTGTGATTCATGGGTCTTAGTGTGGGACAACTTCAGTGCTGTCTCCTAAGAACCCTCTTGAGGCTGGGCCCTGGTAGCACATGCCTTTTATCCTAGCACTTGGGAAGCAGAGGTGTGAGTTTGAGGATAGTTAGAGCTACAAAGAGAAACCCTGTGTCGAAAAACAAACAAAACAACAAAAAATAACCCCCCTGAGAACTTAACCTGAAGGGATATATTTGCTCTTCTTTTGTGTGAAACTTTTCTACCTTTTTTTCCCCTTATTCTGTGGTAATGTAGATTTCTTTTTATGATTTCTGCTTCCCAACTGTATTTTTAAGGATCAGAGAAATGAGTTTATCTATGGAGACAGTGCAGTTGGCCCTGAAAATATGGTCTGGCAAAGTATTTCTGGTTATAGAGGTATTCCAGAATATATAGTTTATATGCTTTCTACTATTGGAGTTTCTGGGATTTTGGGTGACTTATGAGACAAAATATTTGAAACTATGGTCATGTCTTAAAAAATACTTGGTCAGTATGTTTACATCTGTTAGCACTTTTTTTTAAAACTAGTACAAGGTGTTGGTATTTTTCCAATGACTGTGTTATATTATTCAAATGAAAATGTCTGGTTTCCTTCACTGGGTCTGAGGCAGTTACTTCGCTTTGGGTTTGGTACTAGTGACCGGAAGGGTAGCCATCCTGCATTGTATGCAAATGACATGGGAAGGAGCAATAATTTGTAGCCTCAGTTTGCATTTCTAACCTCTGATGCTGATGGTATGTATCAAAAGGCCAATGAGACAGAGGAATATGTGATGTAGCTCAGAACTAGAATGCTTACCTAACAAATTTGATCCCTAGCACCATAAAAATAATAAACAAACAGGTAAGCTTTAGCTTCATTAAATACAAAGAGAAATAAAAGAAGAAAGTTAATTATATGTCCTAAACAAGGAAGCAGAGAATTGAAGGGGGTTATTTAAAGCAAAACAACAACAAATCACAGCCATTATATACTGTCTTCTGAATTCGAATTGCAAGTGTGTTATTGCAGCTTAATATGCAGCACTAAATGAGGATCCTTTCCTTCAGCTACACAACAGGGATTTTGGCATACATCTAAAGAATACTGTCTCAAAATAAAGAGCTTATAGTTGAGAATAATTAGGCTTAAAGTTCAGTAATCAACATACAGTAGGAGAAATGGATAGCTGCATTCAAAAAAATTAAGTTGTAACCCTGACTTCATCTAATATTTTATAGTTTAGCTCTTAAATTTATGTTTATGGTCAGCCAGGCGGTGGTGGCATAGGCCTTTAATCCCAGCATTTGGGAGGGAGAAGCAGGTGGATCTCTGTGAGTTCAAGGCCAGCTTGTTCTGCAGAGTGAGTTTCAGGACAGCAAGGGCTACACAGAAAAACCTTGTCTCAAAAAAGAAAAAGTTTATAAATGATATGAAGTAATGGATCCAACTTAATTATTAGTAGGAATGCTAACTGATCTAGGTTTCAATCTCATTACTGGTATTGGTCTATGAAAGTGCTTTTTACAAATCCAAGTAGCCCATTGACTTGATAAGGTTACATTATTATTATTATTATTATTATTTTAGTTTTTTTGAGACAGAATTTCTCTGTGTAGTTTTGGTGCCTGTCCTTGAACTTGCTCTGTAGACCAGGCTGGCCTCAAACTCAGAGAGATCCGCCTATGCTGGGATTAAAGGTGTGCGCCACCAACGCCCGGCTACATTAATATTTTTAATAGTTAATCAGTTTGTTGGTTCAATTATTTATGTCACTTGGATATATAACTCTCTTTCTTTCTTTCTTTCTTTCTTTCTTTCTTTCTTTCTTTCTTTCTTTCTTTCTTTCTTTCTTTCTTTCTTCCTTCCTTCCTTCCCTCCCTCCCTCCCTCCCTCCCTCCCTCCCTCCCTCCCTCCCTCTCTCTCTCTCTTTCTTTCTTTTGTCTTTTCAAGACAGGGTTTCTCTGTGTAGCCCTGGCTGTTGTAGAACTCACTCTGTAGACCAGGCTAGCCTTGAACTCAGAAGTCAACTCACAGGCCTCGAACTCAGGTCCACATGCTTTGCCTCCCAAGTGCTGGGAATAAAGGCATTCAACACCAGGCCCACCTGTTTGTTTTGTTTGACAGGGTCTCAGTGTCTCATGGCAAGCCTAGAACTTGCTATGTAGAGCAAGCCAGCCTTGAACTCATAGAAATTTGTCTGCTTCTGCCTCCTGACTGTTGAGATTAAAGTTGTGTACACTGTGCCTGGTGCAATGTATTTTATAGATTTGTGCTTGTATACTCATGAACCTTTCTTCTTTTTTTTCTTCTCTTCTTCCTCCTCCTGTGGTGATATTACGTTCCCCAAAATATTGTGCACCCTAGTAAACTTATCTGGGGTCAGAGAACAGAACAGCCACTAGATATAGAGGCCAGAAAATGGTGGCACACACGCCTTTAATCCTGTCACTTGGGAAGCAGAGATCCATCCGGATCTCTGTGAGTTTAAAGCCACACTGGAAACAGCTAATGTTGACTCACACCTTTAATCCCAGGAAGTGAGCCTTTAATCCCAGGAAGTGATGGCAGAAAGCAGAAAGGTATATAAGGCGTGAGGACCAGGCACTTAGAGCCTGGTTAAGCTTTTAGGCTTCTGACTAACAGTTCAGCTGAGAGCCATTCGGATGAGGACTCAGAGGTTTCCAGTCTGAGGAAACAGGATCACCTGAGGAATTGGCGAGGTGAGGAAGCTGTGGCTTGTTCTGCTTCT